TGACTGCTTGTAGGAGTTACCATTTACTGCCAGATAAGGAACAAGGAGACCACAGGGGGAAAAAAACAAAACAAAATAGTGAACTGATTAAAAACTGACTGTAAGAAAAATGGCTTTTGCTGAGGAAGTCGGGTTACATTTGAACAATTATTGTGAAGTGTTTATCTAATCTCTGAAGTGAAAACGAGGAAGGCATCAATCCGCTTTCTTCACTTCCGATACCAATATCTGAGATTTTGTATCAGATAATAAATATCTTATAATAAATATATGATACAGAAAACCAGCGTTGAATTGACTGAAAACGTACTGGATGTTATATTAAAAAATCCTGTGATCAACTATTTTAATCAGCAAGAAGTAATAACCACTGAAGAGATATAAATAAATAAAATGCCTTCACTTCAGGGTCTGTGCAGGATACAGTTTCTATCGGGGTGTTCTTCTATCGACAGCGGCTTTAGATGCGGGCCAATCTTATCAGATTTTAGTTTTCTTTGGCAGACGTCAGACAAATTTCCAATATTAGTATCGAATTCAGATATCCATACAATTTAGTGTTAGGATTAGAGTGTTATAAGTAGCAATGTTCCACTCTCTGGAGAGCACCAAAATGTTTTTATTTTTATATTGAAGGTCAGGGTGACAAAGGGCTTCAAAACACAACAGGTAATGAAGTAATTCTAGTAGTTCTCATCTAAAGAACTACTTTAGATAATAGCTTTTTCGCTTGTGATTGTAACAGGAGTAGAAACTGCTCAAAAAGGCAAAAATAAAAAAATGTAAAAACATTTTTTAAAATGTACCTCGTCACTTGTTTTTGTTTTGTCTGCCTTTGGTGACTTTGCTGGTTCTCACACTGGAACCTTCTGGTTGTTTTCTGTGACAATACCTGTTGGCCCCAACTCTGTTGTTTGTGTCTCCCCCCCCCTCAACCTCTGCAGCTACTGCCAGCAACATCCTTTCTCATTATTTCCGGGAGAAGCAGCGGCACCTGCCGACAAGTTGCAATTCTGAGGCCATCTGACGCACATGTTGGAAGAGCCTCTTATTTACCGTCACTGATTTTTGTCCTGTTTAAGCAGCTGCGCTCCGTCGACTGACACTCTGGAAAGAGTGCATGAACTGGTTATGAGGCAGGGATACTTGAAACTGACGTATTCGATCTTCTTACACCATCAGGGCCTCTCACTGCTAACCAAGAGCAAGCCGGCCGAAGCATATCCCAGCTGATCTTCAACTGCTGTTTTCTTCTTTCCTGTTTGGAGTTGTTCCCGCAAACGGCCTGCTTACCAAGGGTCCGAGCATCCCAATTTATCTGTGTCACACTTTATCAAAATATGTCAATTTCTGTTTTCCACTCTGATGTATCCACGGTGCGACTATAAAAGTGATAATGACACGTTTTACACAAAAATCTCCGTTTCGTAAGATGTCTGAAGCGTGACCTGTGTTGTGACATTTTTCCCTCAGCCATATCTCAGGCGATTCTTCAGCCAATGTTTACGAAACTCTTGCGCATCTATTTCACAGCAGGACGAATCAGATCCGACACGCAGAAAAATCACGGGGCACATTTTAAAGTGAATCTCTGTCAATGCTCATGTGAAAAAATCCAACCCAGTTAGACTTTATGCCTCCCTCTTTGTGTGAAACTCAAATGGATCTTATTCCATAATAACAGATGTACACAAAACGCTCTACTGTTTATCTTCTAAAACTGGCTGGCTGTCATACTCTGCATCGAGAACTGTACCCCAGAGCATTAAAACATAAAACTTAAGCTGCCTAACTTTGTACTTTTTCATTGTTACTGTAGAAAAGCTTTCATTATAAATGAATGGGTATATTCTGAACTTGATCGGTCATTATAGGCCAGAGGTCTGTAAGGCCTAAATGGGTCTTTGGAGATTCCACGGAGACTCTGAACGGCTATCACACAAAAAGGTAAAGAACAAACTAATGCTTATAAATACACATAAATACATAAATCAGCAGCTTAAAGCTTTGTTTTTTTCTTTTTTAGTGGCATAATTACATTGACTTTCCACAACAAAATGTCGATAAAAGTACTAGTACTAGTACTAATCAATATTTGGACCAACTTTTCTTGTCGGTAGGTTGGCATTTTTAAAAAACATTTTCCACAAATATCAACACCCCACAAAAGAAAATCCATCCATTTTCTTTTTTGCTAAAGTTTTTTAGTTCAAAACCTAAAAGTGGAAAACCTAAAAGTGGAAATGAAATGAAATATGTCAAAATTTCTAGATTACTAGTCAAAATGCATGCTGTTTTTCAACATGTCTGGCAACATTTGTGGCTCTAAACGAGTTTTACTTGGGAGAAAGGTGGCTTTTTAGACTGTAAAGGGTGCAGACCCCTAAAATCGAGACTAACTAATAAAGGCAGCTTAGGACTTCCTGTTCTTCCAAATCAAAATCAGTTTAAAGCACTTATTTGCTTAAGTTTGTTTAGGAGGTCTTCACATCAGAGCGTGGACGGTTCTGCCTTACCTGTAGGCATTTTTGGACGCAGGCCGAGGATCAAACTTAAAGAAGATTATGCACATGGATATTCTGAGACCCGGTGACAGGAGTATCACTCAATCCACATCTGTCTTTAATTAAAAGGTATGTCTGAGGCAAAGAGAAAGAAACAGATCAATAGTTTAGTGTTGAGAGGATGCAATAGCTGACTATTTCAAAGTGCGCTCATATCCACCACTGACATTATATATATATATAATATAATAAATAAATAATAAAAGAACAGTCACACATGACAATGCTTTTGTTTGATGCATGCAACACACGCCGTCTCCAGCTGCAAAAAGCAAAAGTATCCTTGTAGTTTGAACTTTCCCACATTTTGAACAACCACACCAACCACATCAATGGATTTTGCTGGAATTGTACTAAATGGATCACCAAGATCAACACATATTAAATTAATTGGACCTGAAAATAAAAATATCAGTGCCAATGCTTTGAAAAAAAAAAAAAAACTAAAGCAACCTTTCACTGAAGGTCTTTTTAACAACAAGGGCGCTGCACTTTTTTTGTGTGTGTGCCAAATTGGACAAATAAAACACGTTGAGGTTTTATTTGCCACAGCTAAATTTAAGGAAGTTTAAGCGGTTTAAATACTTTAGCAAAGCGTCGCACCTGAAAAGCTAAAAGGATAAAGGCTGAGACCTTGACTGTGTATCCCACTGTATTGATCACAATCTATGAGGAAGTCCATCTGAGTTAGCGAATGGCATTGACACAGTCATCGATAATAAAGGCTACTTGCAACATAACTTAGTTCATAACTAGCTAACATTAGCTTACTAACAAGGTACAGCGAGAGCACAGCAAGTGAAGTTCGGCTGCCTACCTGACCAACGTGACGCTACAGAACAGACGCGGTTATTTGTTCAGCAATGTGTTTCTCAATTGCCTTGAACACCTTTTGCTGCTAAGAGCTACTATTCAATATCCATTCACATTCCTTGTTGACAACTAAAAGGAAGCGCTTCTGAAGAGTCGCCTCGATTTTTGCTGTTGATTGAGTCGGGCTTCGCTTCACCATCGATGTTTGTCTGATTCGCCATTAACCCCGCCTTTCTGGGATTTATAAAATGAACAAAACGAACGCACGTCAAACGGAGCTCAGGGGTTGGATGAAAATTCGTGGCTCCGCACTATTTGTCCGTCTGCGTGACAAGCGGGACGGCAAGCAGAGGGAGTTTTCCCTCCATTTGATAATATCCGTAGCAATCGGAGAGAGATGTACGTGCAATACATCGAGTAACCGATAGTTACAAAGAAGAGATGATGTTCACATTAATATATTGCTCGGTATTTGTCAAAGTGAGTCTCCTTAACACCGTTAATTCCAGATAGGGCGTTAATGAGCATGTAAAAGTGGTCGGGTTTCCATTCCTATATTTTTCAATTAAATTATCAATATTTATTGACCTAATAATTTATTTGTCTCGCAGTCCGAGGTTGAAAGCAATAACTTTGCGATTCATTCAAGCTTGAAACGCCTCCCTTCCACCTAAATCATACACCGGTTGACGGAAAAGGATTTAAGACCGACGCGTTGGCTTTGTGGTCCTTTAGAAACGATACGTTGGTGCGTCCGCCATATTGTGAGTGTCAAGTTAGCCTGTACAGAAAACACCGAAAAGCATGGTTAGAGACTTTAAATAATAACTAATGTTTACGTCAAAAGCTATTTTTAATAGACAGTATATTAAAATGCACAATTAGCAATTTACGAATGACGATACGAAGTGGGACAAGAAATAAAAACAAAAATATTAGGGTGGAACAATAAACTCACCATACCACAATAATTCCGTTGCTTTTATTGCAAAATTAAAGTTACTTTATTATTATTATTATTATTATTATTATTATTATTATTATTATTATTATTATTATTATTATTATTATTATTATTATTATTATTATTATCATCACATCCAGTAACTCAGAATAAATGTTCCGATACGACGTTGTCAAATTAAAAGTACCTTTTGAAAATAACCTTTAAGCAGGTATCAAATATGCTTTTCATTCAACTCGCTTAAAAAATGTTGTCTTTTATTGGTCTGACGTAATATTCTCATCTAAAGCGCCATAATTAGTGGAAACAAAAGCCTGCAAGCGTCAGGCAGCGTGCAAGGACGTATATTGTGTTTACTACTGAAATAAACCAACTTTGTAATATTGTAATTCATACAGTGTGACAAACAATGCTCATTAACAATTTTTTTGTGGAATTTAGAATAGTCGTTTAAAAAATATGTATTTTTGACACAGTTTCCGTACACGAAGTATTTAGATCTGCGCAATAGATTTACTGAAGCCATTAGAGTAAATAGCACATCTGCTCTAATGACTGGAGGACGATCCTCAGTAGAAATGTCCTCCAGCGCCGCACAAGTGGCGGCGGGGCGGAGACAGACTCGCGGTGACCGACAGCATCCAGCACTTTTCTTTTTTTTATTATTCCGTTGACGAGGGGGGGATAAAGCCTGCTCCCGCTTTCCATTCAACTCAACGTCGCTATTAATAATGACCGCTTCGAACGCAACTTTGCGAGCAGTTGGATTACTTTAGCTTTTCTCCCCCCCCATGTGGCACTCGACCGACGAGAGGGGCAGAGTCACTTCTTCGCCCGCGAGGACAACGATGACCGGAGGAAACTGAGGTACTCATACCGCTTCCCCCCCTTTTGCTGTGCGGTGGCTGTGATGCCAAGTTCTTGGCCCGTGCGGTTGCTGCTCAGTAGGAGGTGGGTGTGACAAAAAAAAAAAAAAAATAATCAGCAGCCGTGTAACAGTCAAATAGCGCGGAGAAAGACGCACGCGTTCTTACGGAGGAATTACTTCGTATAGCGTAAAGACGGCGAGAATCTGCTTTGTTTACAGTTATCTCGTTAAAATGAGACTTGAGGGGGATATTAATGTTAATGAGGGGTTGGCTGCGCAAAATAGGTTGACAGATATATCTATTATTATTATTATCATTATTATTGTGCTCGTGGCTATGGTCTTGCTCATGGGTGCTGTGAATTGGATCGAGCGCGAGCCGCAACGAGCTGCCAATCATCTTTCTAGTAGTCTATTGTTTTGCTCCTCCTGTTAGTGATGGAGTTACCATGGAGAGTCTTCCTGTTCCCCCCCTCCTGCAGTCACCTTATTTGGAGAAGGGGCGGCAATAAAACAGGTTCTTGTTTTAGTACGTAGTAAAACGCTGGATTCGGGGGTTTTTTTGGGGAGGGGAGGAAGGTTTCAGAACAACCATCAGCAAAGACCTCAGACAAAGTTCTCATTAAAGTTTAATTGGCGCTGGTCAGCTTTTCACGCCCGAGGGCCTCTAATGGCCCCAGGAGGCTGCAGGAGGCACTTAATGCTACCACTGGATGTTCACTTTGAAACTCGAGATTTGAGATGTTTACTTTGTGTTGTTGATATTAGTCTCTTTTACGCCTCTTGTATATATTGGCTACTCAGTAAATTAAAAGACACATTTGCCTACACTCATTGTCAATATTCCTGAAATAATATATCCTGCTAAAAAATATGAGAAAATCAATTGACTATTATTATTGGTAGTAGTATTGCAAAGCATATGTCTGTTGTATTAATTCATAATTTCTCCCTGTTTCTCATCTTTCATTATGCGTTCACCACTTTGGGGTCTTGGGCATCATCATCTGTGTCAGCAATTTTTTTTTTTTTTTTTGTGGTCTGCATTAAATTGCAGACCACAATATCCCAACTAGTGCTTTGGGATATTAATATTGTGTTTTGCTAACTGATATCACAAAATTGTGAAGCTCTGAGCGCAAAATTTGTGTCAACTTGTGGTGCACTGAGTGTCAACAATCAGTGTTTTTTTTGTTTTTTTTTTAGCTATTTCTGAAGAATTGTTTCAGGGCACTTGCTCCTATAAAGATTGGAAAAAATGTTTATAGGAGATTCTTAAATATTGTTAAAATAATGCATTCGAAATATTTGCAATTTGCACAAAAGAACTTTATAGTCTTAAATCAATGGTCTGCACTGAAGGTAAATGCATTTAATTTTGTGCCTTTTGCATGTTAGTGTGGATTTCGACTGTAAAGTTTTGTACAGATGGCTAGGGAACACCAATAACAGGTTGTGAAAGCAGCACGAAAATGAGACACGAGAGAAAATCAGAACAGAGGCAACCCAAGATTTTGTTTTTATTTATTCATTTCATCCCTCTAGTTGTTGTCATGGTCTGGAGGTTATTAACCAGTATCTATAGGCTCATGCTGTAGAAAGCATTGATCTTTTATTTGTCAGTCGGCATCTTTTATTCTTCTTCTTGAAATGAAATTAGATGTTGGCACATTGAAATTTTAACAGGATGCATTTTGTGCTCATTTGCAGTCAGAGAGCAAATTGATCTCAGCATAAAATATTTTCAGATAACTTTCTGAACACGACCAGAATCGCTAACTGTCGAAAAGCGAGCAAAGCTCTGGTAAAGAGTAGGGCGAGACATGAATACTAACGTTAAAATATATGTGTAATACTTGCTGGCTCTTATGCACAATGTGATGAATATCTTCCTTTCGATGTTCAGTGCAGGTTAGCTCGCTGGGATGAGAACCTATTCATTCTATTACATCAAACTTCTCTCTCCTTCCTTTTTTCCTTTTCTATTATGAAATGCTAAATGTAGACGCACTGCGGGTTCTTTGGTAGAAGTAGTAGCTTTTAGTCCAACAGAAAATAGGGAATTGTACCATCCCCAGGTGTGCAACACACCAACACCTATTATTTATCTCATTTTGTATTAAACACAAAACAGTTACGCTAACCTACACGGTGTTTAAAAAATAAAAGAGAAAATAAGAAAATCCAGAATTTTCAAAATTTGATTTACCAAAAAAAAGAACTGATCTGAACTCGGACTAAGCAAACTGAGAGACTTGTGTTGTAAATATCACATCACCAAAACATTGGGGTATTTCTACTATACACACACAGAGTCCTTAGGAGAAATGCAATGCATAACACTTTGGTGTGTGGGTTAGAGCTGTGGAAGACCTACAATGTAGCTCATAAATGTAATCAATAGAAAAGAAATTACCTAATGCCACCCTGGGTATCTCAATGTAGATATGTTTCAAGTTATGTTCTGCAGACAGAAACAAATTTCTCTCAATTGTATTAGCCCTGCACCCCTCTGAGTGCAGTTGCATGGTTAGTGTAGCATTTCATATCCAAATGTGAATCATATTTTAGGAGCAACTGCAGTGCGATGTATTTATTCTGTTGTCTTTATTCTTCTTAAAGGCTGCAGCATTTATGAGTTGAGCATTTGTATTGAGACTGAAGCAAATTACATTTAAATTTGTCCTCTGTTTCATACAGACCATTTATTAAATGGACAGTATTATGTATTTATAGTGCACTGCCGGGTAACTATGCTAACCTGTTGAGTAAGTATGCTAACTGTAATTGTTATTAAAATGATGAATATATCAAGCATGACTATAAAAAATGTGACGTTGCAATCTAAAGCTTTGGAATTGGTTCTCTGTCTCTTTAAGAAATTTCTGCTCTTTCTGAAACTCCGCCTTCAGGAAGTCATCAAAACATGGCTTCTCTATTAACCATTTAACAAAGTTTATATCAGCTTTTCACTGCGAAGTAGCTCCTGTAATGAGCTCAGTAGATATGCAGTTTCACCAGGTGTTTGCTAATTGGTCCTGGCTAGTCTGAAGGAGCAGAGTGGGGGAGAGCTGCTCTGCAAGGTGGAAGCTTGGAACCTCCAGCTCAGAGGTGGAGCATCGTGGTCGAAGGCGGAGCTAGGCTCACCCAGCTGAATGGTTACCAAGGGAGATTAAAGGATTTCTCAAACATCCCTGGACTGCTGCCATGAAATAATCAAGGCAACAGTCCATTATTATTCTTATTCTTTAAATGGTTTTATTGAATGAATAATATTATAACATGGTGTACATGATATAGAGATAAAAAAAAAGAAGTCAAATTTACACAATACTGGTCCTTTAAACAAACAAAAAAATCTAACATTACCAAATGCGGTAATATTGTCTGACAGGTTACGTTTATGACTGATATATGTGTGTGAAAGCTGAAGTGGCTGTGATTCAGAGGTTCCTTGGCTGTGATGGATTGTGCATGGGAAGTGCGTTCCGGTGGCTGGGAGCTGACAGAAGCAGCGTGCAATAGCAAGCGGTTTGGGCTAAAGCCAGCCCAGTCAATGGTTCTTTGTAGAGGAAGCACCTGCAGCGCTCTGCCTTTTGCTCCTGAAGTGATTAACATTCACCTCCAAACTCCCCGCTCTCCTCTCTCTCCAGCCCCCAGGCCCTCCCATCCTGACTCTGCTCCGTTGACTTGGCACCTGCACGGCATCACCGGTTCTGGAAAGCCCATAACTCACGTCTTTGTCTAGATAGTCAAGGCATCGTGACTGCAAAACTGTGTTCAGGTGTCCATTAAATTTTTTTCTCCGTCTTTTTTTTTTTTTTTGTTCAAGTCAAGTTTTCATACCTTGTTCATTTGCACAACTAATTGTTTTATTGGTTTAATTAGGAACTGGATTGGATTGGTGTGCTTTCGTTTTAGCTGTATGTGCACAAAAAAGCGCCTGCTGGGTTAAAATGCATTTGCATGACCTACAGCATGGATGTCCTGTTGTTCTCTGTGGATATGCAAAAAATGATTAGTAAAAATCCAAAAATTGTGGAGATTTAGAAAGCCTTGCTTTTTTGCTTTCAAAAGTTTATTTGAACCAGTAAACCAAGAGTGACTAAAACGCGTAACTTTTATATGGGGGGGTCTTTTTTTGCATGGTTTGGTTCAGAATTATGACTTTGGGCTCAAGAACAAGAAGTGAAGTAAGTTTGGTGCTGATCCCAGTTGTAGGAATCTTAGGCAGGAGCAATGATTTGAGGAAAAAGTAAAATAATTTAACTATTATGGTATGTTCCGGTTAGCCGGCTCATGATAACAAATTCAGGTGGATGATAAATTGTCCCCAAAATTACTCTGATGAACAATAATATTGTTATTTTGAGAGCATTTTCAGGTGATATAACACTAATGGCATAAAAGTGCAAGAACACATTCTCAAAGATCAATAATTCTTTTAATTAAAATTTGACAAAGGAGCTGGAAGATATTTTAAATTCCCCAAATAAATAAATAAAACTACAGAAACACCAAATAAAGCAAATTATGAAGTCTCAGTAAGCAAAACTGACCAAAGAGCGTGTGAGTTAGTTAGCTGTTGCCACCCACCTTGCTTAAAGAGCTGTGAGAGGTTGAGCAGCTGAAGGCTTTCCTCTGCCTACATCTCCCAGAATGCTGTGTGGTTCTGATTTGGAGTTCAGTGACTGTTCTACATATTGAGTATTCTATGAGATGTATTATTTACTGGTGTAGATTAATGTGTTCATCGCCATGCATATTTTCAAAAACCCGTTCTGCATTTGACTCGTCCATTTACTTCATTTTTATTTGTTTCATCTAATTCCATTGGAGTTCAGACCCTTTAAAAACTGCGCTGACATCGTTCCTACGTCAGGAAGTTTGGCTGAGTTTGATCCAGGCGCAAAATAAATCTATTATTTATCAGAAAATAATAGATCTTTTCAAAAATCCACAAGTTGAAAGTGGATTTTACCTGAATTAACGTACCAGTTAATTTCATTAATTACTGTTAGCCAGTGCTCAGATGCTGCTATTGTGAGTGATATTCTCAGTGGGATTAATTCTTTTTATTTAT